TAATAAATATATACATGTGCCACATGACATGTGGGGAGGTGTAGTGCCTCCATGACATAAACATTTTATGCAAAATTAATGGTCATCAAATAAAATAATAATGAAAATTGTTTTAATTAATAAAAATTAATATAAAAATCTCGAATAGATCAATTAAGGAATGTCACATCATTAGATAATGCATATTTGTATGTGCCACATGTAATCCTTCAATTAAATTTTTACTTTGTTTAGTTTGCTGAAAAAAATATAGTAAAATAAGTAATGTAATAAGAAAAACAACTAAAATATGTTATGAATTTAATAAAGATGCACGTGTGATAAAATTTATATGTAATTAGTTTTTTTTTGATATGATGGATAATTTTAAAAATTATAAGCAACATCTTTTTAATCAATAAATTATATACATAAGTTTTCTAAAATTATAAAATAATCGTGCATATATTTTTAAGATACGTCAAAACAATAAATTGGTTTTAACATAGTCAGAAAGTGAAGAGTTTATAAAAAGTTAATAAAAATAATAGTTTTTTATTGTTGGAAAGTGAAGAGTTTATAAAAAATAAAAATACGAATTATTTAATACAAAATTAACTCACATGCATGGATGGACGTACATGTGTCATGTGATATACGCGTGGCGGGACACGTGTCATTAGTATGCACGTGTGGCATGACACGTGTCGTCACCACAACTTTGAAACCCTCTTTTACATATATATATATATAGGATATAGGATAAAGGATTATTATTATTATAGTGGAGGTTACAATTAGAGCAAAATTATGGACATAGTGATAAATTAGAGCACATTACATAATCACAAATAATAAGTCTATAATATTAACATTATTATTATTATTATTTCTTTGTTGCATAATAAATAATAATGTAACCTATATATTCATATGGCATACTCAAATCTTCAGGTTTGAGTTTCACTAATGCTTCGAGCATATGTAATCAGAATATGAACTTCAAGTTCACTAGCCAAAAAAGAAAAAAAACTAAAGAAATGAAATTTTTTTTGGACATAATATGTACTCAAACATTAGGCTGAGTTTTATCATATAACCTCAACTTTAACACATAATGTAAGCTTCACATGCCAATTCTCTAATATATTTAGGAGCTTTAGATTCAATATATCTACAAGTTCACTAAAAAACTAAAATAAATAAGTGTATATGTTTATGTATATATCTATAACATGAATATGAACAAGGACAAGAGATGAAGGGGAGTAATTTCTATAAAATTAGAATTTTTTGCTATCGTGCTGATAACGTATTAAAAATAGAGATAATAGAAATATTGTTATGAACAAAATGATAGAGATATACCTTGATAAGAACACAAATGAAAGATCATAGTACAATGGAGAATGAAAAAAGAAAGAATGCAATGAGAGACTAAAGAGATGGATATCTCATTTCAATATATGGAGCCTCTATATATAGGCTTACAAATGGGAAAGCAAAGGTCTAACTTAATGGGGATTATCAAAAGACATGGAAAACATCAAAAGACATTTGTTCATAACACATTTAAGTTATAAAATGTATTTTGGTGCCTAAAATGCACGAATATAAAAAAATATGCCCAAAGAGGTGATAATATGTAATAAATGTATAAGAGCAATATAAGAAATAGGGATAAAAAAACTTGAGAGTTAAAAGACTCAACAAATCTCCCACACTGGGCTCTTGTCTGCCCTTGGACAAGTTGTTAAAAGAACATGGCTAGAAGAGACCATTATTAAATATTGTCCAAACCAAATCATAAAAAACACAAATGTTTCACCTTGGTTTTTTGACCAAAATAATCGCCTGAACACTATCTTGCCCACAAGCATACCTAATATTGAGCTTTCTTTTCAAAAATTGAATTAATTATTTCATGGGTTAGCTGTTCTTTTTAAACTAAGAATGAAAATCCTTCCCTTTTAGTGATCACTTTCTCCCACAAATCGTTTTGGACAAAATCTACCAATTCAAGTCCCAATTATCATAACTGGAAATCAGAAATGCAACCCCAAACTCTTGAACTATAGTTTCTATACTCTCATTTAAGGAGTTGAGCCAAGCTACCCCAGGCCCTTTTTGAATCAGCTTGGGAATTAGATAAAAAATGCCAAGGGCTTCCTAAGAGAGATAAAAAGACTTGTTACACACAGGTTAAGACACATAATCACGAGCCACATTTGTGGGTCTTATGATGGAATTACTCTTTCATGACTAGAGGTTCTCAAGTCTGAACATGATTAAGGTTTTTTTTATTTGGACGACCCATAATAAGGGGTTTTCTCTTCCAATCAGACTTCTCTCTATTCACAACCTCCTTTTAGAGTTATTACTTAAG